AAGGAGCTTGAGGTCTGATTCTCTGGTGTCATAAATGACTGGAAGGCCACTTTGAAATTTCGCTTGGGACTTGGGTGCAACTTTTATCCTAGTGGGACACTGAGGGAGGGCTGAGTTAGTAACTTAGTAACCAAGATTAAACCCCTTGACCCTCCTCTTCTGTAATACGGTAAACTGAGTCTGGGCATCTGGTTTTAGAGAGTTGGGCAGGAAAAACAGGAAGGTCATTCTAATCCTCCCTAAGATGTAGCTGTGCTTTGTCACTTTCAAGAACCGTCACACTGCAGGCCAGGACTTCCTGCCTAGGTCACTTTGCTCCAGCGCAGAGCTAACAAGTCCACGTAGGAACTGTCAGGACTTAATGTCAGAATCTGAAAGTATGATGCAAGGGGGCTGAGTAGAGGACAGACGGTCGACATGGTAGTTTGTGCCACCTTGGGGGTACTGTGACCTCGAGGTGCTTCTACACTGTCACAGAGGAAGGGCAGTGTGTTGCTGACACCATGACACACGGAGAAACCGTCTTTGCGGGGCGCACTGCAGCAAATAGCGAGTAGGCTGCAGCAAGCTCTGAGGGCTCCGGTCACCCCCGGCTCCCTCCAGCTGTCCTGAGGGCCGTGGGGTCAAAGCACGACTGCCTACCACCGACAGGGAAGCTCTGAGGTAGCGTATTTTGTTTTCTTAAGGCACTGGTTCTCAACTGGGGGTGACTCCCCCCCCCAGGGGATATTTGGTAATATCCGGAAGCATTTGGGGCTGTCACAGTGCGGGGGCGGTGCCTGTGTACTACTGGCACCTAATGGGTGGAGACCAGGGATGCTGCTAAACATCCTACGATGCACAGGACAGCCCTCCCCTGACAACAAAGAATTAGACTCCTGCCCCCCCCACCACCCATGTCACTAGTGTGGTTGTTGAGAAACCCAGCGAAAAGGGGCCAGGTCAAGGAAGGGCAGTCTCTTGGTTTTAGTGAGTCAGCTTTAAAAATCTCTTCAAAAATTATTTATAGACCCAGCAAAGCAGAGGTTCACCTGTCTTTCCTTTCCTCTCTTGGTTTTTTTTTTTTTTTCGGTCACAACACCCCTCTAATGTCGAATTTATAGATTATTTTGTCTATTTTGATAATTTGTTACTTTCTTTTTTTCTTGTGGATACTTTTCACTAGTCATTAGTCACCAAGAAGCTCAAAGACAGGCATCCAGGATGAAATGTAGGCAACACGACACCTTGGAGTCATGGTCCCCAAAGACGGGGCTGACTTAGGGGATGCGGTGGGTGTTTGATGCTGCTATGAAGAAGGTGCCGCTTGGTTAGATTTCCCTCAAATTCATCTGCCAGTGAGTAAAACAAAAACAAAAACATGAAAAGAAAAAAAATCAGCTCATTAGGACAAAGCAGAAAATTGCCTAGGGTACAGTCCAGGAAAACTGTCAGCACCAATCACTGTCTGCTAATCCCAGCCCGGTTTCCATCAGCGGCTCCCTGGCACTCAGGGGTATTTATTCTACTAAAGATTTAAGCCAGTTTGTTTTTAAGAAACCATCCTAATCGCCTCTGACTTTATAATTTAATCTTGGTTACTAAGTTACTCAGGGAGCTGAGCTGAGGACGCCCTTTGCCTCCTACCAACATGATTAACCTCTCTTAGCTGGTTTTTCCTTAAGTCTCAAGGGTAGTGCCAGCTGGGGGAAGGGGTAAAGGTACTGAGAGGAGGAAGAGGAGGAGGAGAAGAGGAGGAGGAGGGGGGAGGGAGGGGAGGGAGGGGAAGGTAGAGGGAGTATAAAGGGAATGGAGGCAATTGAAGATCTTAAAAGAAGCAGACCCGTGGCTCCTTTGCTCACATAAGTCTGGACAAAATATTACGGCACATTCTAGAGTTGGGGGCTCTTATTTCTTTTTTATCAAGTCATCTGTTGTCTCTCCTTCAAGAACACAGAGAAGAATCAGCAGGCCCCTGCTGGGATACAGAGGATACAAATAATCAAAGGGTCGTGTGCATGGGACCAGGGCAGGAAGCCAAGTTCTGCTTTCAGCCCAGTGGGAACTTGAGAGGGGAAGAGTTTCCAATCCTGGTTTTCAGAGCCGATGGTGGCTGTCCACAGACCCTGGCTGGATGCACAAGAGCCCAGCTGGGGCCCCCACCCCACCCCACCCAGTCCTGCGTCCACAGTCCCCCCCATCCTTCTTCTCAGGGTCTGCAGGGAGGTCTTCCTGCACTTCTAGCTGCTCTCCCATAAGGATGGTCACATGTTGACTCCCAGCAAATACCGGCTCACCAGAGCGACCTTCTCCTTATCGGCATATCCGCCAGGCCCTGCTCCCAGAGCCGGCTGGCCCACTGCTTAGGGTCACACACGTCAGCCAGTCCAGACCTCCTCCTCCTCTTATCTCGCTCCTGGTGGGGGCCATGGTGCTGGGGAACTGGGAATGGGGTAGCGGGGCGAAAATGGCAGTTTTGAGGCAGAAAGTATTTTAGCCTCCTCCAGGAAAGCATTTCCAGCTCTATAAACCAACAGAAAACCACGCTGAAGAACTGCATGAACACCCCATTGCCTCCGCCGACCTCCCCTCTTTACCCCCCCACCTGACCCGCTGGCCCCAGGAGGGGACCGGCTGGTACTCACGCTGCTGGGGTGGAGCATGGGCAGAGGCAGCAGGAGGAGCGGCACGAAGATGACGAGCAGCAGCTTCCAGGCGCGGAGAAGGCCCTTCAGCAAGCCCATCCTGGGCCTCTGCGCTCTCCTCCCCTCCGAGCCCGCGCGCCGCCCGCCAAGTGCCTGAGCTGCTCGCAGTGCTCGCCCGGGTCCGGAAAGGCTTCTTAAACCTGCCTCGGCTTCCAAGAGTCCTCTTTGTCTTAAGCACAGAACAGGAGGGCAGGTAGAGTCCCTGTTTGCACCAAAGGCTGGGCTCCTTGCCTCCTGTTTTAGGTGGGATTGGTGAGCATAGTTTTATGCCCAGCAAAAAGGCAGCAGGAAAGGACGGTAAACCGGGGCATTGTGGGTTCCCTCTTTGCTTGACCAGTAATGGAGTAACTTCATTCTAAAGCTCAGCAAAAGCCCCCTTAACCAATCAAGAGTATACCTCTGCTGCAGCTGTCTGGTCTTGAAGAAGTCATTTCAAAGCTTAAAAAAATTTAAGAATGCCAAGAGTCTACTGCGCCTGCCATCATTTTCCCTCTCTCTGATGGTCTATTTTGGGCAGTACCACTTTCACTTGCTGCCTGTGCAGGCTGTACCCTCTTCCCTTTAAAAAAAAATCCAGTTACCACCCCCCCTTTTCCCCTTCCCTTAAAACAACCCCCCTAAGATTGTAAGCAGAGGGTGCAGACTTCAGGTAGGGCTGGTCTCCTCTCCCAGGACCTGGCACCTTAACTCTGTTCAAATTTCTTTCCTTCTAATTGGTTCCCCATTATAATTTGCCTTGAGCCTGGGTCTCCAAAGCAGAAAAAAAAAATCCCTAAGACATTCCTTTTTGTCACGGGACAGTCTTGCTGGAGGCCCACCTTAACTTCCCTTCACCTATGGGAAGCAGGACTGAGGCGGTAGCCACGCCCATTCCTCACAGCCAATCAGCACGTTGGAAAGAATGAATCGCTATCTCTTCCAAAGGCAGTTCAGGATTGGTCCCAGCAGGGGCCTGCTGATTCTGCGGAACCTAAGCAACTTGCAAAGCTTATTTTTGTTTCTCCAACATCCTAGGGGCTGGAGTGTTGACCGTCATGGTAACCATAATCCCACTTCCCTAAGCACTGCACAGGACACCGAGCGTTCTCTGGAAGGTCCTCTTGCTGACCTAGTCCTTAGGGAGATGATATGTCTGGTGCAGGGAGAAAATGAAATATTAATTCTGGAGAAATTTGCTCCAGAACGTACAATATTAAGTCTTTCAGACTTGCCTGGTGGCAGAGATTGTTTGCTTCAACATCTGGATGAATGTAAAGCGTCTAAGTCAGCAGAGGGTGTTAGCCTGTCGGAAGACCACAGAACTGTTTAGGGAGAGAGGGAAGGGTCGCTGCTTCTCTGGAAAAGTCTAGGTGCCTATATCATTTCAGAGGCCCTTGGAGCCCAGATGTCAATGATCCCTCTGTCTGGAGTAAGTCCTCAAATTTTCCTTTCTGAAGCTCTTTACCCCCTACCC